TGGCATCTAGATTTAGTTAGTCGAATTCAGTCAAAGATAGAACACGGGTGAAGTTAGGAGCAGATTACTCAGTTTGATTGTTGACGAGTGCATGGCAAAGTGGAGGAAAGACAAGACATTATGTACTTAGTGTTTTATCCACATTAATGATACAGTGGGGTTCGAACCCGGGTCTGCTGAGTGCCTGCCCAGTATTCTACCACTGAGCCACACAAGTGCTTGGGACTTGTAGGCAAGCTTGCCTTAGGCAAGGTTGGTGTCGGAAAAGCAATCGCGTTGATACGACCTATAAAGTGTTGTCAAACAGCGAAAGAGCATTTAACCAGTCATCGCACAATTCGAATAGCGTAGCGTGTGGGTCGTCGTAGGCTTTAAGTCATTACAAAAGATTGTTCTTGTTTAGCTATTAACTATGGTGCATACTCACTTCAGACACGATTCCTCATCGTCGCCAGTCACTGCATGAACAATTGGCACAAAATTCCTTGCAAGTGTTTAGCGGATACCACACTTCTCAGAAAAATGACGAAAAATAGCAGAGGGAATGCTAGCCTAGTACTCTAAAATTTTTATCATGAATGCCGTAGTGAATTTCAAGCAAGTGTGTTTGCAGCAGTTACGCAATGAGTGTTTAGAAAAGGTTCTAAAAGTCCGATCTTCTAGCCCTCGCTGTGACTGTGGTGCACCTTCCGCGCAGGCCTGGCATTTTTTCTGATCCAGTTATTTAACTGTAACCGGCAGGTAAATTGATTGCAATGCATTTACTAGACGGAAGAATTAAAAAAGGACCGATAATTTACTGCCGACAGAATAAACTGCCAAAGAAAGCCAGCTTTACTTAAAAAAATTTAATTGGCGCAACCAAAAAACACACCGGTGGCGGCGGCGCTCCGATCAGCTGGCGGCGGCGGCGCGCCAACGTCTCGGCGCACACCTCTAGTCATCGCCTCTTTCGAAGAAAAAAAAAGTGCTAAAAAATTCTTTGCGTTTTGTTTTCTGCTCTTTCGCTGTCTCAAGTTTTCCGAACCCATGCTTCCTGCTCCGCAACTCTCGCTCTGCCTCGCTGACCTTGCCCTCCCCTGTTGCCCTCGCCTCTGCACTCGCTTGTAAACCTGCACTATGGTGGCTAGAGGGGGGAAGTGTGACATGCGCTGCATTTTTGCCATGAAAGAGGGGCGGGCGAAACGCAGTGAAAGTTCTGGCCATCGCAAGGGGCGCTGCTGTAGCAACAGGTGCTCGCTTTGCTTGCTTCGGGTAGGTGATTTGTGGGCTCGTTCGCTCTCTCTGTGCTGTGCCGTTGCCTCGTTCGGATGCCTCGCCTTCGCTGTTGTTGTTTATCTGGCCACGTGTTTTGCGAACCAGCGCATGGTCAGTTTGCTGACCATGCCGTTCTGCCGTTCAAGTACATGCTTCGTGCCTGGTTGTAAAGGCGGGTATCGATCGTGCTCAGGAAAGCTATCGGTCTTTAAGGCCCCAAAGGATCCCTCGAGACATCAGCAATGGGCTCGTAATATTCAGTGGGCTGACAAAGAACAGACAACAAACAGCGTCGTATGCGAGTGGCACTTCAACGAGAGATTCATTGGAAGAACATACCGGCACGTTGTAAACGGTGAGGTTGTAGAGATACCCCATGTTCGACTGAGTTTGTCGGACGATGCTGTGCCTACGGTGTTCCCGGACGCACCAAAGTACTTTACAAAAAAAGCACCCATGAAAAGAAAAGACCGAAATATATGTGAGCAGCACAGACCTGCTACGAAATGGTAAAAGCGCAACTCAGTCAGCAGACAAGAGCCCGAAGTACTCGTGCAGCAACAGGAGCTCGAAATTCCCAATATTCCCGAGGTCGAAACAGCTGACGCAGTCGATGCTGTCGCTGAAGTTCAACGCGTGTGTGTGAATCTCCGTCTACCTGACGAAACATGGAACAAGTTAACGTTTGGCAGTGAACATGACTCTGCGTTGTACGGTGTGTGTCAGCTCGAGGGTGAGCAAGTTGACCACGTTTTGCTGCCCAAGCGGGTGAAGTTCAAAGCTAACAGCTGCGAACAGAACTGATTGTGTTGCTTTGTGTACCTGAGGGGCAAAGTTCACTCGCAGTGTACAGTCTCATCGCAGGAAGAAGCACAGTCTGTGCTCGACATTTGAAAGAAATTTATGTAGCGCGAGGTGAAAAAACAAACACAGGAAAGAATAGACTGAGAGGACAGAGCGCTACTAGCAACAACATGTTTATTTTCGACCTCCAAGCCGTTTTTAAGCCATAATCGTCAGGCGAGCAAGCAGATAAGCACGTGTATTCAGATAAATGCAGGACAGTGTCATCTACCTAGAAGAAAAACGATAAATGGGACAACAAAAAAACCACACAGATAAAATCACGTATCACTGCGTACGCAGGAACGCCAGTTCCTTGGGTGACAAGGCAATTGAAGGCTTGCTAATACATACATCTCCAAGAGCATCAACAAGTTCGGCTTCTATGATCAATCGAGTCATCTCATCCTTATACCGACCAACAATGATTGTACTCTGGAACAAAGGCCGGCACCCACACGCGTGAATGTGAAGAGCGAGAAAACCTTCTGGAGAGAGAACACAATTACAAGGCGGATAAACTGCCGCCAGAAGGCAGAAGGTACCGTCACTCCGCCGAGCAGTTATCTGCAGATGATTGTGTTCATCACCACCAGCCACTTCGCTATTGCTCTTTTTTAGTCCTATCTGTTAAGGCCCCGCTGCAACCGCTTGGAAGTTATCACTAATTGACCGGTCTTTGTCGTTACCAAAAGGTGGAAAACCTTTAACGGCACGTTGTGGTGTCTGAGAGTTCAACGTCGCAGTGAACTTTCATTCAACAAAAGTTATCCCTTCTTGCATCTATGGCTTCTTGCATTCGAAGGCATTGTTGGTTTATTGTTGGCAGTTGTAGATGCCGATAATGGCATCAGAAAAGTGCGCCGTGCTAAAGCTGACCGCAATTCTCGATGCTGCCTCCTATTTTTTCTTTTCATTTTTCCCCTCTCACTTCCGTTCTGCCTGTGAAGAAACGTCTGGAAAGTGAGCGACCTTGCTCAACGACCAAAATCTTCGACTCATTTTTGAAGGGTAGCATAGGAAAATCGTTAGTGCACCGAAATATGGTCGTTATAACACATAAATAGTTATATCTGAGATCATTATAAGTGCATCGGACTGTGTTCCTCTTTCATCTTGCTTAAATGACCTTGTTGTTAGTGGGATTTTGCGGACCCGCCGTGATGGTCTAGTGCCTAAGGTACTGGTCTGCTGACCCGCAGGTCGCGGGATCGAATCCCAGTTGCGGAGGCTGCATTCCTGGTGGAGGCTAAAATGCTGTCGGCCCGTGCGCTCAGATTCGGGTACACGTTACCCCAGGTGGTCAAAATTTTCGGAGCCTTCCACTACGGCGTCTCTCATAATCACACGATGGTTTTGGGACGTTAAACCCCACAAATCAATCAATGAATTAATCAGTGGGATTTTGTGGCAAACCTAGACAAGTTCTTTTTCCTTGTGTGACAAAAACTTAAATGTAGTGGAAGTATTCAGGAAAAATATTCGTTATGACTGGACATTTTTCACGTTATTTTCTGTGGGCTATTGATGGGGAATCGAAAATTACTTGTTGTGGCGGAAATTTCACTGCAGCTGAATTAGTTATAGCGGAATTCGACTGTACCCTTCTTTATCTGAAATTACCGGCCTGAGTTTCTTCTCTAAAGGCCAGATAAGGTCAGGGCAGTTCAGATGCATATTAAATCTTTTGATGCTAGCAACACAGTCAGAAATAGTCTAGTAATAGTCTATTAATAACTTTAAAAACTTCTACCATGAAAGAGGAATATTTTTCTATTCTTTCACTGCAAGACAACCAGCCAGTCTTCAGAGGTGACAGCCACTGCAAAACGCTAGCCTTAGGCCTATTGTACTCTTTAAGGCAAACATTTAGCCAATAGACATGTTAAGTTTGCTGCATACTGTTAATAGACATAGCTTCCAAAGAAGAGCGCTTGCACTGTATTTGAGACCTCATTTCAGAGTTGCACAGGATATTTTCAAAAATGAACTAGGCTTGTGCGAATGGGACGTTTCGTTCAAAGTGAAGGGGTAGCAGCTTTGAATAGTAGCAAGAGTTGAATCGCAACAGGGTGCCAAATTGGACGTGGTAAAATGCATCATGCTTTAAAGTTTGTTACTTTTATTACATATAAGCCCATGTAACATATTTTCAAGTTTAATGAAAGTGCAGGTAGTGTGTGCAGTATAAATTGAAACAGGGCAATTCAGGGCTTAGTAACGTGCACACTTGCGTTAGCACAGTCTTCAGTTTGGGTCACTTCGATGCGAACATGTAGATCAGAGCCAACATTGTCTTTAGAAACCACGTTCGTTGTGGTGTGCCGTGGTTTTCTCAAAAGCTCACACACACCAATTGATATACTAAAAATTTGATTTTACTTTAATTCGTGAGTCCTGTGCATTCAACTTCGAAGTGTAACTTTGTAGCAGTGTGGATTCCCCCTGGGTAGGTAGTTTCACAGCACAGCAGCTCTACGGTGTTGTGAAGCCACTTCTTTAGATGGGCTATATGTGCTCAAATATAGTGCATCTGTTTGTCCATTTTGAATACTTATATATATTTTATTAGTTAAATTTTTCTTAAATTGACTGAATACTGTAATTATCATTCAAAAGTTTGAAGTCTTTAAATATTGGGCTATTACTAGATTTAAGTTTTAATTCTCAGTGCCAGCTGCTATATTCAGGAATTGGTTCGATACGACTTTACGTAGGGCTTGTTTTATTAGTGACGATCAAGCAATGGCATAATCCTCCTTTTTTGAGCTTGCATTCACAAGAATGGTGAATAAAATTTGTTACCCTTTTTCCAAGGCACATGTCCACAGTTTTGTCTTGACGTTTGTCTCTGAAGTTCTGTGTAAACATACACGTCACTTATCTGGTCTCTCTTGCAGGTCTCGAGCCCAACTGCGACAGCGAAAAAGCACCACCGGCTGCCAGGAGCCAAATTATGCAGGGTACGGTTGTTCGACACCTTATATACTGTCAAGTTTCGTTATTCAACATTCACTGAACCTGATCTTGTTATTCAGCGGCTAAATGTAAATAATGTCTTGTGGAGGGTACCCGTGTTTGCTCTGCTTTTATAGCAGCCTGATAAACATTGCGCCTGTATTCCTATGATTCAGTAAGCTATATTCAAGCGTTGGTCGACACCGGAAGAATACGCTTACAAGCGTTACGTATGATATTCTCGGCATTGCACTGTAGAACAAAATTTGTTTTGATGATGATGACACCTGTACTCTAACAGGAGTGCTGACTTGACGTGAGACATTAGTGCAGTTGATGTACCTGGCAAGCCCACAACGTGTGTACAACTACTGCTCTTACAGAAACACGTTTATCCACCTCGTAATGCTTGCCTCATGGGCAAAAAAAAAATGCAGCATAAAGAATTACTGTATCTAGTCGCTTAATAGGCTCACTTTTTTTTCCAGAAAATTCGGCTCCAAGTTCAGGGTCCGCCTATTACACGGGGTAAAATTTTGAAAGTGTTAATTCCGACTACAGCATAGACGGTTAATAACGTACATCGCCGAAGTCACGGATATTCGCACTTTAGCTGAAACAACCCTCTTCGTAGACTACACGAGCGAAAAACGTGTTGAGCATGCAGCTTCGCATGTGTCAAAAATTAACATAGCAAGATTCGCATTATCAGTGAAATGAACACAAAAAAAGAAAAAGAAAAACTGTAAGATGACGACACCATTGTGGAAACTCACTGATTACGTTTCAGGCCACCTAGATTATGCGTATTATCACAACCGAAATTTCGTACGCTGAATGGTATGAATTGTTCGATTTAACGGGCTCCTGCCCCATATCCTTAATATTGCAGTCGAATCGTGAAGCAGCATTCGGGTGTTACAAGCGCCACCCAAGCCCCCTTTCCTTTATGTAGAGCCACCAAAAAGAGTTTGATTCTGCACAAAACCACCGCTTCGATCGCCCATGACTGCCACCGAAAAGCACCAACAGTGATTAGGCCTAGCTAGCCTGCGATTCAACATGTTGTTGCAGGAAGTTTGTACGAAGCAACATGAAGATTGGGCGTCGAAAGGATAGCTCTCAATAGCCGTGCACGTTCTATGTGGAGCGCGCGTGGCCGGGCTAGTGGCCGGAGTCACACCAGTGCTGCTACAAAGGTTACTTCGACACTCAAGCAACCATCCTTCCTTCTCACTCGCGCAGCACTGCCGTGGTTTTCTTTCTTTTCTTTTTTCCTCGCTTCAGTTCACATAAAGGGGTGTCGAATTGCAACCGTTCAAATATGGTACAGAACTACTGGTCACAGCCAAGTTCAGGGCGTGCCTAGTAGGCACGGAAATTTTTTTAAAACATCTTATTTCTCACGAACAAACTGGGGTGCACCTATTATGCAAGTAGATACGGTACTCACTGACGGCTTTCCATAAAACCGGTTTTTACAAGGAGTGGGAGCTGTCATATTTTTTTGCACTGTGTTTGTTTCTTGCTTACCTGATCTCTACATGCTCTGGTTTGAATGCACACAAGCTATATATGGGACAGAAAAATGGCGTAGAATTTACGTTAGCATTCACCCGTCAGAAGGAAAAGCGGACAGTGCCCGCAATTCTGGCAAAAAGAAAATGTGAAGCCACCAGCCGTTCTTTTTTTTTTATGTCCTTTCTTCTCGCTTTCATGTAAATGTACAGCTTTTTTTTTTTATGTCCTTTCTTCTCGCTTTCATGTAAATGTACAGCCACGACCACGTCTGTGTAGACGATAGTTATAGCGTGAGAACAGAACGACAATGAAGGTGTGAGAAGGAGACGAGCGTGTTTCCCTTTGTCGTCGTTCTGTTCTCGCGCTATAGCTATTATTGTTATGTCATACCAACAAGCCCAAACCGGCACAAGTCTGTGTAGAGCACTATAGCAGCCGGTTTTCGCTTTGCAGTTTCGGGCTCTGAAGTGGTGTATCAGGAGCATGCTCAGTCTAGTAGTCAGGCTGACCACGTCAGAGCCCAAAATTTCGCCCCGCAGAGCAAAAACCGGCTGTTCGCGTGCTCTACACTGACGTGGCCGCGACTGTACACCATTGTCAGCATCACCATGCCCTCCATAAGGTCTGCTGTACATTTGGTATTCTGTATTCATTGTGCAGTTCTGCTAGAATTACTGACTTGATGGTGGCTCATGGCCATTACATACTGCTTCTTGATTACCATGATTCTGGAGCATGTGTGCTGATTAATTCAAATTTATTTTGTCAAGGCAAATTTCAGAACCAAGATAACAAAAGTTTGGGCTCATAGACGGGCCCTAATTTAGATGGATTGACACTTGCCAAGACCTCCACTTAAGATTTACAACAATGAAGCCTTGTTAATTTGAAGTCACTGGGACTTTGAGAAATGTTCAAAATAAGCGGGTTTTCGAATTAACGAGACATACAAAAAGTGGAATGCAATAAACTTGACATTATTCAAGGTAATCAGGGCTGGTCATTTGCAGTTTCATGGGTTATGTTTTTCAGCAATACCTGGTCCTAATTTTGCCGAAAACACTGGGTAATGGTAGGGTTCAGTGCTTCCACTGGGGGAAAAAAAAAGAATGCACTCATGATCAACAAAGATGCGTGCCTGCTGAAAACAAGACATCTTCACTACAATACAGTAGTGACACGCAGACAGCCTGTCACCTGCGCCTCTCTGTGCCAGCACATCATGATGCGATCTTTACCATATTTTTTATGGTAAAATAAAGAATTTACTGATGGCTTGTGGGGTGAAATTCGCTATGTGTTTGGCCGAAAACATGATCATTAAAGCTTTTGAATCGAGTTTTCAAATTGGGCATTGCAGGCACAAGAACTGCACCAGCAGTGCAAGTGCGCAAATTACTGGAGCAACCAGCTGTTGAAGGTTCGCATACATTGTGAATCACGTCGGATTGTCCTTTCTTAATTTCTTTATATTCCCATAGAAAATGGGTAAATCATGACGTGCTTGCTTTGTGAGAAGCATGTGACATGCTGCCCACTCCTTGGCCTGTATTGCAGTGAAGCAAGTCTTGTTCTACAACAGTGAATTTTGTCGTGCATGTTAAGAGTTTTGTTATAGCGAGATTTGACTGTACTTACAAACTAGCTCAGCTCTTTTTTGTCTGAATGCTCATGCTAACTGTTTTTTTATGAGGAGGGGAAAGGGCTTTAGAGGGTCGATTCCCAGCCAGCCAACGGGGCAGCAGCACGCCTTTACATTGAATATGCTAAAATAAAACATGTTATGTAGAAGGCCTTGCCCTAAAGAGAGGAAGGTTGGTGCAGACCAAGTTGCTTGTGTGCATAATCGTCAATTCAGAATGACATTTCATGTGCCAAACAATGATGTCGCACCAAAGTGACACCAAATGCAACTAATCATGTTTCCTTAACAGTATTGGTAGCAAAACTAACAATATTGGTAGAAAAAGAAGTGCTACCACAAATTATGATGCAGTCCTGAAATCTATATTCTGAATCATGCTGGAAGCTTAGTAGTTGTTGAGCGGTGGTTCAAAGTGTGTACCATTTCTGTCTATGATGTATTGCATAGAAGGAATAAAGACCACGAGAAGCCCTGGCTGTTTTGGTTGTTTTCGGGTCACACAGAAGTCTTTGAGCACATTAAGTTTGTGTGGGATGTGGTATGCCTGCACTGCATTGTTTGGACCTAAGAAGGGTGTTTTGGGTCTGTGAGCTTCAACTCGGCCAGCTGTGATTCCAGCTGCGGCGGTTGCATTTGCGATGGAGGCGAAAATTCTCGAGGCCCATGTGCTTAGATTTAGGTGCACGTTAAAGAAACCAAGCGGATCAAAATTTCTGATGCCCTCTACTGTGGTATCTCTCGTCATATCATCATTTCGGTATGTTAAACAAGGACACATTACCATTACTAGGCATTTCACGCCACTTATTGACACGCTGCACCGTCCGTCGTAAAGGATAACTATAGTTCTCCTATTTACCGTATTGTAGGTCGACCCATTTGTCTTAATTTGAAATAATTCAAAGCTTGGGGAGGGGGGAGGGGGTCAACCTAAAATGGAAAACGTGTTTTGGTTGTAAAGTCTTTCTGAAAATGATTCCCGCACATTTTTGGGAAGCTAAGATTTCTGGACAGCTTTCAGGCATTGCCGTGAAGCCACTTTGATAAACTGGAATGTGACAGTTGTCTTTTTTAGACACCGTAAATAACTTTTTTTAATAAAGTGCACTTGTGCTGCTCTTCCCCCTTCCCCTCGCGTGATTCCTACATTCCAGTCAACCTTAAATCATGCAAATACAGTATGTGTTTTCTTTGTTTTTTTTTTTTTGTCATGGCCTTGAGTTTTAAACACACTCCAGTGTTGCATGATCATCTAAGTTGAAAGCCTATATGGTCGTTGCTGGGTCCAGCACATGTGTGCTTTGAAAGATCACAGATATTGGCATTTAGGTGTGTGTGCGATGGGAGGGGGGGGTCTCGAAGTAGAGAAAGCGCCACGCTCATGGAGTGAATGGACAAGTAGACACGGTTGGAATGAGCCAAAACAACTCGCATTTATTTAACTACTTTTAGATCGACGATATCGTCAGCCAAATCATTATACAGCAAATGTGATCAACGCACTAAAACAACCTTACAAGAACTTACAAAACACTCAACAACATATAAAACACAAAAAAAAAACACGCACAAAATGGCCGATGCTTGACTCGCCACGCGGGCCCGCCGCAGACGACGCGCGGTGCCGCCCACGGCAGACCCATCGCTAGAGACAACCTTTCGCGCCAGCCGCCACCCGCCAAAAGAAAAGAAGGACCACTTCTCTCTCCTCTGCCACCATCAATGTTTGCCGCCGGGCACCACCGCCAGCGCTACGCACTAACCATAATAATGATAGTGGTGACAAACGCTCGCGAGCACAATAGTTGATAGTTGTCGCCTCTGAATGCGCTTCTGCGCAAGACACGTGCGTTAAGAGGCACAAACAAATTTACAGGGAGTGTGAGCACCTCCACAGCGGTGGATATTTATTTATTTAACGGGCAGCAGGGAGCCTGAGGTTGCTGCCTTTTCGTAACTCTCGAGAGCAATGACGTTGCAAGCCAGCCCGAAGCAATGGTCAATTTTGTTTTCTGCTGCGATCCAACTCAATACACATTTTAATCCCATCCTGGCAGGATGCAAAGTCGTAAAATCTGCAAAAAAAAAAAATTAAGAGTGACTAGAAAAGCAAGCGGAAACTAGTTCATTGCAAGACGTGTGATGGTATGCTATCGTTTACATTGAGGAAAAGCTTTGCTGCATGACGCGCCCAGTCACTGCGCTCACACTAAACTTTTGTCGTGACCGCCTGTTGAATGAAAAAGCAGGACCTTTTCAGAGATGGTGCCTATTAAACAGTTTGTATATGAAATATTTTGTTATGTTTTTTTTTTTTTAGTGGATAGAAATGTCTGTACCAACTTTGTTTAGTTGATTCTCACAATCTCAAATTTGGCGGTTCATATCACTCGCATACTACAAATCTCTTCAATGAAACTTTTATGCATAATAATTAATTACCATATTTACTTGCATAATGAATGCACTCGCAAATAAATGCACCCCCAATTTCAGTTGTCAAAATTTGTTTTGTTTTTTTTCCCCACATAGTATATGCACCCCCTACATTTATCCCCTGCAGTCCCGCTAACCAACACGTCGTGCCTCCTTACCCGTTTTATCTCGTCTGTTTTTTATTATTATGCCAACCCCCCTAGGCCTCCTTGGCTCGCTCCTCCCCACCCTTGCCCGTTAACACATGCATATTGTTTTTTTTTCCATCTGTGTGCACCACAGCAGGGTGCAAGTGTAAAGACATTACGGCTGATAGGCACCAAGGAGCGAAGGTCACGAAACTGCCCGCGCCAACCGACGGTCCCTTCCTGCAAATACAAAACTTGAAGGCCCAACGACGGGCACTCCATTTTCTAGCGACGATCACTAAATTTGCTGTCGCAAAGCGTCATTTGTCGCTATGGCGTCGCAGGTTTTTAGAGAATCAGAAAAAAATCACTTGTCGGCCAGAAAAGATCGTGACAATTTCTGCAACATGGTAGCACCTTCGATTCTCACTTTGCTTGCTCTCCGTGCGTAGAGGAACTTCTCATGTAGAAGCGAGGTGGCAGCTGTATTTTGTCGTTAATCTCGTTATCAACGGTTTATTTTGATGCTTCGGGGGTAGCTTGCTGCAATGTTGGTTATTTTCTACCACGTCAACGGCGGAGGCGCGGTCGTCGTGCAAGGTTGTTGAAAAGTTGGCAAAGTGGGTCGTAGCGTACGCTTCTGGGTGCCCCTCGAGATCACAGCAGATACCACTGTTACGGATAAACGACTGCGAGAAAAGAGGCCAGAAAATGCTTTTATGGCGTGTGCGGGCGGTGCAGGGACATCTTGCAGAAGATAGTGCCATCAACCTCCAAAGATGACTGCAGCAAAGAAGCTGTTTTCGAACAGTGTATACTTATATCAATTGCGAAAGGCGAAGTGACCTAACTTTCTTTTTTTTTTTGCATTACTGCATTTTTTTTGCTCATCCCGAAAAAGTTTTCATAAAATTTTACCACGCATAATAAACACGCCCCCAACTTTATTCAAATTTTTTTAACTGCGTTTATTACGAGAATAAATATGGTAGCTTTGCTTTTTTTATTACTTGAAATATTAAGTGCCGTACTTCCTTCTGCAAAAAAAAAAAAAAAGATGACGTAGTGTAACCTACAAAAATCGCCTATTTTACCTGTGGTAGGAAAAGAGTTTAAAATGTGATACCAGAGCCGTTCTTTCCTGCTTGCCCACTGGTCGGCAAGCATTTAAAGCAATCCAGAAAAAAGTCTACTGTACATATCTTGGGACTCTGTGCAGGTGTGTTCTTGCACATCCTGGCCGACACCCTGGGCAGCGTCGGCGTCATTGTGTCGGCCATCCTGATGGGCCAATTTGGCTGGCTCGTGGCCGACCCTATCTGCTCCATGTTCATCGCCACCCTCATTGGTGTCAGGTGGGACCATTCTTGAATACTCAGTGTACAACCCTCAGCCCACGTTGCTGAGGGTTCCAATGAGGTCTTGTTGGTGAAATAGCTTTTATGTCTTGACTCGAGAAAGCAAAAAATGGACATCACAAGTGAGCAGCAGCTGGTTGATACTGCATTTTAAAAGCAATACTTTGCGTGCAGAGCATTTGAGAAAATATGGGACAGAGCACACTATCCTGATCTGACTTCTTGCAAACACGCACACACACAAAAAACAGGAATTTTTTTTTATACAATGTACCAAGTGTTTTCAAAAGATGGCAAATACAGTGCAAAAAATGCTTCCAGGCCATTTACTTTTGAAAAGCTACATACACAGTTGTGTACACCAGTTGTTTCTGCTATTTATATCAACTAGGGGCTAAGAATCAGAAATATATTTTTGAACCTTGGATGAATTGAACCTCTTGCATAGTAAAAGTATTTTCATTTAACTTCATTTTGCAGTGTACTGCTGCATATGATTGCTTTGCTGAAGGCACTACCTTGCTCAACGAGTCGTTTGGTATGCCACTTTCTGTTAGCTGTGTGAGAAGTTCACATTTTTTTTTTTTTTTTGCTTAAAATTGGCATAGCAAAAAAAGAATTCGCAGTATATTTCCAGCCCGAGATTTCATCATGTTATTACTGATGCTCTGCCAAAGCAGAACATCAGTGATTTTAGGAAAAAAATTACAGTCAAATCTCATTCATTCGAACACGCTTAACTCGAATTTCTAGTTAAGGGGAGATGCGGGTCGAGAAACGCGAGTTTTTTCAAAATTAACGATTAGCACCTCTAGTGTTATGAAAAAAATAATACAGGTCGAGACTTAACTGGAAATTCTTTAAAATTGCATCTAAAGAGCACAAGGTGCCTGTTAAAAGGTCAAAAGTGTGCAGTCTTCGAGCACCTTGCTGCCGATAATGTGCCGCCGCTCGCCATTGTTGATCGCATGAATCGAAGAGTCGAGCCTCACTCTTCAAATAACAACAGTTTCTCTCACTGATGCAGCGCAAGAAATAATAAAAAGACGCACTCTTCTGCACATCTTTAGAGCACCGCGACTGGCTTATCACATGGTAAGAATTGGGTACCACCATTGGCCGCTGCACGCCTGTATGTGCTGAGAAACCTATTTGCGGGGCCCATGTTTTGTCGAGCAGCGCAGCTGAACAATGCTTTTCTCGTGTAATTATCTCCGTTATGAATGAAAAAAGGCATTACTCGCAAGTGAAAGCAGTTGTGCGGCGTGCTCTGTAGAAATAGGCTACGAGCAGCCGGTCCGATTTGCGGCAGTTGTTGGCTCGCAAAAGCCAATGCATCAAAAGTCATTCACACCCTTCAGCCGGAAAGTTCGTGATGCAGCAATGGATGACGTCAGCGCCAATTTTGAGAGGTTGGAAGAGCTCGCAGTGAGAGAACTTAGCAGGGACGACATTGCCATTATGTACGACGGTATGTGGCACAAACATGGCTGCAAAATGGCATGACACTGGACTTAGTTTGGATTTCGCAGTCTTGTCGAACTTATTCTTAGCTTGCAGTTGGCACAAGGCTCTGCCAGATGGAGCGGAAGTTTGGCAAGCGTTTTATAGTCCTGTTTGTGAGCAAAATGTCTGTGAGGAGTCGGCTCGAAAAAGCCAAGAGGGACAAACTCATGGTGCTGGCGTATTTTAGTCACAGTGGCCACTACAAGAAGGATTGTTCTTTTTGGTGTGCAAATTTCATCTGATTTAATATCTTTCTTAAACTTCATAAATTTTATGATATCTTTCAACTCAATTTTAACTTTAAAACCCGTTTTTCTTAAAACACAAATTTTGCCATTTTTTTCCAATCTGCCCCTCCTTTTTCGGGCACTTTTAGTGCTCGGATCTTCATAAAATTTTGCCCAAATATTTTTCCAAAGTGTGACAAATGCAATTATCTAGTTTAACTTTCAATATTTTATTGTATAATAAAAAAATGTATTTATACCTTTACTAGGGTAGCTGAAATATGAAATTTTTATGTCTATTACTTTTCACACGTATTACATATTTTGTATGTGCTTCCTAATTAGTTATTTGCACTCTACACTTTATTTGAAGCATTAGGAACTATGAATGGTAAAAAATTACAGAAGTTTAGGGATGAAAAGAGGGGGAGACAAAAGGGTTAAGGTTATCACTGTGTCATGTTGCAGAGCTAAAAGTGTGTAACTTGCAATAAAACTAATTATATTGTTACCTGGAAAATAACAGTTGTCAGTCCGCAGCCACAATGCAGCTCACCGACAACGTCCACTTCTTTACTCTCAGTCTGAGGCACCTTACTTGGGTATGCCCCACTATGCCCTCTTTTAGTCAGGCGAAATCACGTAACACGACCCCCGGCGGCAAAAGCGCCGACCTGGCGAGTTTACCGGGCCACAGCAGGAGCAGTGTGGTGACGCTTGAGCCTTGATACGTGGACGATGTCCCTTGACAGCATAGCGGAAGAGGTTGATGGATCATCAGGGACAATTTCATATGTAGTGTCGGTCACTCGTCTAAGCACGCGGTATGGGTCCGTGAAACGAGAGAGAAGTTTTTCTGAAAGGCCTGCATGTCGCGTAGGGGACCAAAGAAGAACGAGGGAACCTGTTGGAAAGTGTTCGTCGCAATGCCGCTCGTCGTAACGATGCTTCTGCGAGTCTTGGGACGCCATTAATCTGCTGCGGGCAAGCTGACGAGCGTGGTCAGCTCGGGTAATAGCGTCGCGTGCATATTCAGAAGTAGACTGCGCAGCGGCTGGCAGGAAGGTATCCAACGGCAATGTTGGTTCGCGTCCAAACAGAAGGTAAAATGACGAGTACCCGGCAGTGTCATGCCGGGAGGAATTGCATGCGAATGTCACGTAGGGTAGTGCAAGGTCCCAATCACGAGGGTCGGCCGAGACGTACTTCGATAGCATGTCTGTCAGGGTGCGGTTTAAACGTTCTGTAAGCCAGTTTGTCTGGGGGTGGTACGATGTCGTGAGCTTATGTTGGGTAGAGCAGGAACGCAGGATATCGTCAACCACTTTCGAAAGGAACGTACGGCCTCGGTCTGTCAGCAGTTGACGAGGGGCTCCATGCACTAAAATGAGATCGCGTAGTAGAAAATCAGCGACGTCTGTAGCGCAGCTTGTTAGCATGGCTCGCGTAACTGCATAACGGGTCGCGTAATCCGTAGCCACCGCGACCCACTTGTTTCCGGAGGCGGATGTTGGGAAGGAACCGAAAAGGTCCAAACCAACACGGAAGAATGGCTCCGATGGGATGTCGATGGGCTGAAGATATCCAGAAGGGAGTCCTGACGGCTTTTTGCGACGCTGGCAAATTTCACAAGCGTTGACATAGCGACGTACAGAGCGTGAAAGGCGAGGCCAGTAGAAGCGGCGGCGGACACGGTCATATGTGCGAGAGACACCAAGGTGACCCGCGGTTGGTGCGTCATGGAGCTCGTGTAGGACTGTGGAATGCAGGTGCTTTGGTATGACCAGAAGTAGGTTGTGACCATTGGGCGATAAATTACGCCGATATAAGGTGCGGTGCTTTAAAATAAACATGCGAACAGAAGCGTCTTGCGGTGAAGATACGAGCTGTTGTATTAGGCGGCTGATATCCGGATCGCGACGCTGCTTGTCCCCGAGATGAAGCAGCTGGGAGATGGAAAGGACGCAGCCCACAGAATCAGTGCTCGTAGGATCGCAGTCGGCCACAGGGTAGCGTGACAGACAATCCACATCTTTGTGCAGTTTTCCTGATTTGTACACTACGTTGTAAGAATACTCCTGTAGGCGGAGTGCCCAGCGGGCGAGACGACCTGTGGGATCTTTGAGGGAGGCGAGCCAGCAAAGAGCGTGGTGGTCGGTGAGAACTATAAATGGTTGGCCGTATAAGTAAGAGCGAAATTTCGCGACTGCCCACACTAGCGCTAGGCATTCGCGCTCTGTGATAGAATAATTACGCTCCGAGTGGGACAGCAGCCTGCTGGCATAAGCTATCACGCGATGCTGCCCACGTTGTCGCTGAGCCAACACAGCGCCTATTCCGTAACCGCTGGCATCGGTGGGGACTTCGGTCGGTGCCGTAGGGTCGAAGTGAGCCAGCACAGGAGAAGTGAGCAAAGTGGTCAGGTCGGAAAATGCTGCTGCTTGCGAGGGACCCCAGGTAAACGTCTCATCTGGTTTGAGTAAATCTGTTAGGGGCCGAGCGATTTCCGCGAAGTTCTTGATGAACCGCCGAAAATAGAAGCAGAGCCCCACAAAGCTGCGGACATCTTTGGCAGTTTTTGGCACAGGAAAGTCCTTCACAGCTCGAACTTTTTCTGGGTCAGGCTGTACGCCGTAAGCGTCAACAATATGTCCAAGTATTGTGATGCGACGGCGACCAAACCGGCCCTTGGATGAATTCAGCTGAAGGCCGGCGAGACGGAATACATCAAGAATTTTCGACTGTCTCTCAAGGTGTGCTTCAAAAGTGGGAGCAAACACAATCACGTCATCCAGATAACAAAGACACGTAGACCACTTGAATCCATGGAGCAGGGAGTCCATCATTCGTTCAAAGGTGGCGGGGGCATTACATAAGCCGAAAGGCATTACTTTGAATTGGTAGAGGCCATCGGGTGTTACAAAAGCCGTCTTCTCTCGGTCCATGGGGTCCACGGCAATCTGCCAATAACCAGAACGAAGATCGATGGAAGAAAAGTAGGCGGCACCATGAAGGTAATCAAGGGCGTCGTCAATGCGGGGCAGAGGGTATGCGTCTTTCTTGGTGATGTTGTTAAGGTGGCGATAGTCCACACAAAATCGCCACGATCCGTCCTTCTTTTTAACTAATACCACCGGGGATGCCCAGGGACTGGAGGATAGTTCAATAATGTCCTTCGCTGGCATCTTGTTCACCTCCTTCTGAATTATGCTCCGCTCAAAAGCAGACACTCTGTAGGGACGGCAGTGAACAGGGTTGGCATCA